CGTGGCGCAGGTTCCATTGGAGTGGGGGCACTGGTGCCATGAAATACAACTGCAGCGGCAGCCACTGCTGGTCCTCTGGATCGACGTCGGTCAGCAGGTTGCCCCGCAGATCGCTGCTGTTTGCTGCCCCCAGAGTTAGGATCATCTGGGCTCTTCCGTTTCTTTCTTTTAAGTCTGAACTGATCAGGACCAAGCGATGGACTTGATGAGCACGACAATGGAGGAATATTGATAAGCGCCTCTGGCTTCGGCTTCGGAGCTGCCTTAGCCGTGGCCCCTGCCGGTGCCCCTGGCCCGTGTCGCGCGGGGCCTCGGCCAGGTTTTAAATCGCGACCATCTGGCGTTCTGAGGGCCAGGTTCTTAATAGTGGTGTTGTATTTTCCTGAAAGAAGGTATATGGTGGCGCTGCGTCTTTCTACTATGCTTGTCTCTATCCAGCCTACACCTTCAGCGCGGTAAACACTCCGCCTCTCAGGGGAGAGGTCCACCGTCTCAGTAACAACGTACCTGGGATCAATCGGATTGTTCGTCTGACACGTGGCGTCCGCAATGCCGGAATCGTCCGACGCGTGCCCTTCAGGGGCCGCGTCCGCGGGGTCAACTTCTTCGGCCATCTCACCATCTTCATCTTCATCAGCTTCTTGTTGATTATCTTCGTCCTCCAATTTGCGATCGGCAGGTTTCCCTGCGCGCCAATCGCGATTGAACGGCGCCAAGTGCTGAAGAGGTGACAAGTTCTTCCATGTGAGCTTTGTTCGGGTTATTTCATCAGCTGTGGCGTGGTCGTAGTCGTTCTCCGTCAACTTTTCCTCATGTGGCGTTGTAACCCCGACCATCACCATGAGACCAAACCCACGGTGTCCTTGTAAAGTTCGGGCTGCTTGATGGGCGTCTCATGGGGCAGCCGAGCCCGTGGTCGGCATAGTGTTAACATGAACAACGAACGCCTTGGTAAAGCTTCCGTTCCTCGATAATTGCTCTCTCGAGGTCGCGCTTGACAATATGTTCTTGCATTTTAACAGGTCTGGCCCTTGTCAGGCGAATGATCCTGCCGCCCGCACCTCATTTACTATTGCGAAGAGAACGCCAGTGGCTGATCCGATGCCCAGTCCAACCCTGATCCAACCAGCATTGCATCTTATCTGGGAGCATGTGCCGACGAGCCAATCTAGCGTCCGAGCAACCAACAAGGCGCTCAATTCCACCCTCTAGGTATTCTTCTCGCGGTGGATCTTCTTGGGGCGGGCGCCCCCGCAAGTGCCCCCTCCCCGGGGGTGTCAAGTCTAGTAGCCTGCCACGGCGGGGCCATTGGAGTTCCCGCGTCAGGAGGATGAGCGCGCTGAAGACCGCTAGAGCGAGCGCCGCTGGAGCGGGCGCGCGCGCGATCAGGTGAGCGACTGGGGATCCGACCGCGACGTATCGTGCCGTCGCTATCTTCCCATTGTTCGTCCTCGTCGTCGTCGCGATGCCTCTTCCTCCAGCGGCGGCGGCTTGCCGATCGCTTCTGGCGGCTCCTGGACCGATCTGAAGCAACGAAAGTGTGTTGACATTCTTCATTATGACTACCAAGCTCATATTGAATGCGCTCAGATAGATCGCCAGCGTCTCGCGGGTTTCCCCGCAGAGGATCATCATCACCTAATTCCATGTGTGTCGGATTTCCAACTACCCGAGGATAGAGCATCGACTGTATCTCTTCGCCGGTTGCAGGAATGGTAACTCCTGAATCCGCGGGTGCCCCCGCCATGTCAGCATCTCCTTCGGCGGGCATGTGGAAGTTCTCGACGCACTCAATATCTGCAGGTTGCCCCGCAATGGGTATGCCCAGCCATTCTGCCAACTCGATATCGTCGTGGCCAGTGAACACCTCCCCGAACAGCTCGTCAGCATAATTCTCGAGGGTCATACTTGCGCTGAGATATCTGGCAACCATGGAATTACATTGCGGAAGAGCTATCGGCAGGGTCAGCTAAAAGAGACCCCCCATCAACATACTGTATGTCGGAATATGTTTGGGCCAGATGTATTGACGGACCCATGCCTCTTCCATCACCTTGAGGGCATTCGCGTCGGAAATGCTGTGTGCAGTGGCATATGTCGCACTCCATAGTTTTACCGTTGGCATCCTTTGGGTTTCCCCGTCGTCCTTTGCCTTTGCCTGATGTATGCCTGTGGTTTCTGCCAGCTCCTAAGAACATGTAAGAGATGCTAAGAATGCTAGTATGCCTCTGCCATGCAATCGCCGACGCTTACCTTTACCTTTACTTCGGCCCGTGCCTTTTCCCTTAAGTGATCGTCGTACGATACGCCTTACCTTCCGGATTGGTTTCCTCATGAATCTCCGCCAGCGACGCTTGTGGTTTCGATCGCCTAAAAATAACCATTGCGCTTGTTGCCCCTCAGTAAGGTATGTAGGCATATCAGAGTAATCAAGGGCTGTAGCTTCGCCATCTAAAGACGCATCGGTCTCAGTACCGGGGTCGAAGTCGGACTCGGCGGGTTGCCCCGCTGAGCCCATTAGGGTCATGGCTTGTATGGGGGAAACCGCGTCGGGCGGTCCCCGAAGCCTGGCCCAGGAGTCTTGCGACCCCGAGGCCGCTCCACCATTCTGAGCCAACAGTGTACATTCCAGACGTTGTTGGCAGGCTGCCCTGCGTTAGCCTCCACGTGGAAGGTCTCGGTTCGGTGGCCGTGACTGAAGATACCACCAATATTGCCGGGCTTCTCTCGGCAATGTGAGCATATGACTACGTTCCAGTAGACCGTCAAATTGTTGTTGGTCTCTCGGCATGTGGTGGTTTTGAGGCTGCAGGACTGGTTGTGCACGCGATGTCCCTACTCCAAGAGCTCTGAATATAGTCACTGCTAGGATTTGGAAGTTGTGGATGTTGAAGCCGGCTGTTTCAGCTTCGTAGCGGGCTACTTCAAACCGTGCTAACGTCTGGTCGCGTTCTCCCGCATGGATTCGGAAAACAATGAAAGCCGTACCCGAATTGAGTTGGCGCTCCTCTTCTAAGTTCTCGAACTTCGTGCTTCAGAAGAACATGATGTAGGCAACGCCGTCAGTATGGCGGCCACCTATGTTGACGCCAAAGTAAATAACTGCTGGAGGGACTCTCATGGCCATGGTCCGTGCGAAACCTCCCAAACCTCGCTGCAGAGCTGCAGCCTGCTAGGAGGGCGTCATATTGCCTGTGGTCACGTTGATCCAAGCATGTACTTCGCAGGCGAATTCGCGAAATGGTACTTGACCGGCTGGGTCCCAATGAGGGCCGGTCGTCCTTGTGTCGTCTCCGCCACGCATATGTCCTACCGCACACCCGATAGCGACCCATGTGAGCCCAAATATAGTAACACCAATACAATGACCTCGTAGGTCGTAGTCGGATGTGGTCGGTTGGGACTTCCGTTGGGTAATCGTAAGTCTGCGTGGGGTTGGAGGCGGCAGTATTTCATATCGCATGTTTCCATGTATTATCCGCCGGCCTCCTTGCGGGGCCATCAGATTGCGAGGGTTAAGCTTGCTGCTCCCTGCGCCAGTTCCAGCTTCCACTTTCCATTGTTACAATGCTGCTTTCTGTTTCCAGCGGAAAATTGTTACTGTCCGCGCGAAGGGGGGGAACCGAAAACCACACTGGTTAGTGTCCCCCGGGAGGGTTCTCAGAACTCCAAGGGGGGGAAAAATTACACCCCTCACGCAGATCGGCGGGGTCAGGGTCCAAAAACATTTGGAATTTGCCACATGTCTGAAATTCGGTTGCACCCCTCACGCAATTCGGCGGGGTCAGGGTCCAAGAACACACAGGATTTGCCACATTGCTAAAATTCCATGGCACCCCTCACGCAGATCGGCGGGGTCAGGGTCAAAAACACACACGTGACTAGCCGCATGCACCCCTCACGCAAATCGGCGGGGTCAGTGTGCAAAAACACGGGGGATTTGCCACATTTTTAAAATTCCGTGGCACCCCATCACGCAAATCGGCGGGGTCAGGGTCCAACAAAAACAAATGATTAACCGCATGTTTTGAATTCGGTGGCACCCCTCACGCAGATCGGCGGGGTCAAGGTCCAAAAACACAGGGGATTTACCACATTTCTGACATTTCCTGGCACCCGTCACGCAGATCGGCGGGGTCAGGGTCCAAAAACATTTGGAATTTGCCACATGTCTGAAATCCGGTGACACCCCTCACGCAGATCGGCGGGGTCAGGGCCCAAAACACACATTGGATTTGACACATTCCTGAAATTCGGTGGCACCCCTCACGCAGATCGACAGGGTCAGGGTCGAAAAACAAATAGGTCCCGACACTGCTCCACGGCAAAGCCAAAGCCTCATGGCTTCGCTCTTCCATGGCCCATTCTCCGAAAAAGGGGGCCGGCGGCAGGGGGCGAAACCCTGACCGATATTGTCGAAGAAATTTCCACTTCGAGTAGGTGGGTGGACTTCAGGGGTGTAGAAGCGCAGGGATGTAGGATATAAGTAAGAGGCCTCCGCTTGAGCAGAGGTATCGCTGCAAGTGTCCTTGCGGTATTGCGTAGCTATATACATTCCTCCGCGCAAACCCACTGCACCCTGATGTTCCACCATGTCCGTAGTCCACCAGCTAGTGCCGTGGATGGTGAGGAGTAGAGCAAGAGCTGACCACCATGTGCCAGCTCCGCTACCAAGTTTGAAGGGGGCTGGGAGGCCCAGCCAGCAGCTTCGCCTTAGGCGAAGCCAAGATCCAGCTCTGCTGTACCGTAGTAGCGATAGTTCCAGTAGGAGAGGATGTGCCATCTTAAGCAATAGGAAGATCATTTTGGTCTCGATAGCGATTGTGTGCCTCGCAGTGAGGCACAATCATATTTGGGCGGTCGGCCGCTTGAGCCGACGAGGCCGCGGGCGCACGCTCGCTTCCACTCCTTACGTCCCTCAGCTCGCTTTAGACTCCGTCCCCGTCTCCTCCTCCTCCTCCTCCTCCTCCTCCTCCTCCTCCTCCCCTTCCTCCTCCAACCGTGGGCAGCTGGTTCGCCGGCCAGGCCCGCGCGATGGACAAGGCCACACTGCTGTCAGAAGAAGAAACCACGCCACAGACATAAACTTTTGGAGGTTCGCGTGGATCTCTTGGAGCTGAGTTGGACCTCCCTCCCTGCGCCATGGGGGGGCAGCGCAGCTCCAAGAACATCCGCCTGCGAGCTCCGAACGCTTCGGTTCATGCCGCTTCGCTACTCCACGGTCCTCTCCCAAGGTGCGTTCGGACCAGAATTTCGAGGCGAATCCAGCCGTGGCGACGTGGGCCTCCCATCGGGGGCGTCCAGGGGGGGGGGCGGAGGGGTTAGAGCGTCCGTCCAAGATGGCCCCAGATGGCTCCACGATGGCCTCAGAGAGCCCACGATGGCCTCCAACATTGCTCAAGATACCTCACGATGGCTCAAGATAGCATCCGACACACATCCAAGAGGCCTCAAGACGGCCCCAAGACGGTTTCAAGTGCCCTACAAGTCCTCCAAGAACCCCCCCAAGGCCAATATGGCTCTAAAAGCGTAGGAGGATCAATGTTTTTTGTTTTGCTTCCGACGGGCTCTTGAGGCCTCATCATGGCCCCAAGACGGCCCAAGAGAGCCCCAAGAGGGGCCCAAAAGGGTCCCAAGAGGGCCCCAAGAGCGCCCAAGAGCGCTCCAAGAGCGCCCTAAGAGTGCCCCAGGGCGCTCTGTTTGAGCCTCCAGGGGGGGCCTGAATTTCTCCTCCCCCCACTTTTTGAGCACTGGGGCGCAAGAAACCTCCCAGACCCCTCCTGGGAGCCCCAAGAGGTCCCCAAGACTTCCAAAATGAGCCCCCAGAGGGCCCCAAGAGTGGCCCAAGAGGCCCCACAGGGGGCCCTCAGGGAGCCCCTAAGCTCAGGATAGCCTCCGACAGCCTCTAGCCGAACATGGCTCAAGGTAGCCTCCAAGAGGCCTCAAGAAAGCCTCCGATCGTGTCTGGATGGGCCGGCCTCGGCCATGATAGCCCCCCCCCTTGGTCATCACCCCCCTCTTGGCCGCCCCCGATCCCAGGAGGCCCAACAAGGTGCGCGAGCCCCGCCAACATTTATGCTTAGGTCGGGCATGCCCCCCTACAGGCGGATTTTGGACGAACGATAAAGAATACCCCCAAGAAGTACCCCAAAGAGTCAAAAGTAAGCAAGAAATCGTCCCAAGACTATTTTTGACTATTTTTGAATATGCCTCCTTTAGAGGGACAGGCCCGACTTCAAACAAGGTGCGCGAGCTCCGCGAAAATTTATGCTCGTACCGCGGTTTTCTCCTTCGGTGCTGTGCAGCAGGCTGCGCTCCGGGGCCGCGGCCAGGCGCAGCACGAGGCGCTCGCGCGCCGCGGCGGCCGCCGCTCCCTGCTCCTGCGCGGCGGCGCCGTCCCCTGAGATCCCAACGCCGCGTATTGTTTTTGTAACGTCGCGAAGCTCAGGGCCCCCTATAGACAACCCGCATAGTGAGGATGCGTGGTAAGGGATGCAAGGGCCTTGGGCGCCCATGCCGAGGCTCTTCGAGCGGGGCTGGCCATCGAAAGTGGTTGAGGATGGACCGAAGATGACCGAAGAGGCAAGGCTGCAAGGGTACCCTTGGGAAGTCGATCATCCTTACTATGCGGGTTGACTGTAAACCAGGGTAGTGCTAACCAGGGCTTCGAAAGTTCCACCCGCAGAGAAAGTAGAAGGGAGACTGGTTCGACCAACGGCTGCAATTTTCTCGGGCGCGCCACTGCCCTGGCTTATCCCAAACATGATCGACCCACGAACCCGGAAAAGAATGTAAAAATGTAACGCGTGGCAACGTTTTCAAAGGCACCGGATTGGGTGACGAGCAAGAGCAATGTTGATTGTATCGATCTTGATGTACCGTGCCGAGGGCTATGCTGTGCTACACCGTGCTGAATTGGGATGTGCCATGCCGCGGTTGTGCTCTATAGCGTCGTGGATCGAGTCTTCCTTTGCATCCGAGTCCTGACCGAACTGATCTGGATCTTAAGCTCGAGCTGCCTGAACACATAGTAGCTGCCCCAGAGCTGATGGACAAGGGAGCATGTCAGGAGGACGCGCCGCGAAACGTCCCAAGGGATGCGCCAGGCGACGTGCCAGGGGACATGCCATGGGGTCGCACCGCGGGACGTGCCAAGGGGACGCGCTACGGAACGTGCCAATGGATGTGCCACAGAATGTGCCAGGGGACGCGCCACGCGACGTGCCAGGGAGACTCGCCAAGGGACGCGCCACGGAACGTGCCAAGGAACGTGCCAAGTTGCAATGCTGAGTATATCGATCTTGATGTGCCGTGCCGAAATATGTGCTGTGCTGCGCTGCGCCGTGCTGAACTGCGATGCGCCATGCCGCGATTGTGCTCTATAGCCTCGTGGATCGAGTCCTCCTTTGCATCCGAGTCCTGACCGAACTGATCTCGATCTTAAGCTCGAGCTGCCTGAACACAGAGTAGCTGCCCCAGAGCTAATTGACAGGGGGACATGCCAGGAGGATGCGCCGCGGAACGTCTCAAGGGACGCGCCAAGCGACGTGCCAAGGAACGTGCCATGGGGACGCACCGCGGGACGTGCCAAGGGGACGCGCTACGGAACGTGCTGGGGAAAAGCGTTTCGCTCGAGACATCCGGTCAAAATCCAAGGACATCCTGGCAAAACAAACGAATTAGTCGAGACATCCTCGAAATTCCTGCGCGCGGGACGCGGCACGCGCGAGACATCCTCGGAATTCCTGCGCGCGGGACGTGAAAAGAAGCATTTTGCCTTAGACATCCTCTGAGTTCTGGCCCCCCACGAGGCCCCCGTTCGAAACATCCCCCAATTTTGCAAAACCAGTGTTTCGCTCGAGACATCCTCAACAAATTATGAAAATTGTGCAAAACCAGCGTTTCGCTCGAAACGTCCTCAACCAATTATGAAACAAACAAGCATTTAGCTTGAGACATCCTGCCAAAATTCAAGGGAATCATAGAAAAACCAACGAAATAGTCGAGACATCCTCGAAATTCCTGCGCGCGGGACGCGGCACGCGCGAGACATCCTCGGAATTCCTGCGCGCGGGGCGCTTTTCCGCGTCGCGGTCGGCTCTGCAAAACCAGCGTTTCGCTTGATAAATCCTCAACAAATTCTGAAAACAATCGTTTCGCTCGAGACATCCCCAACTCTGCAAAACCAGCGTTTCGCTCGAGACATCCTCAGCACATTCTGAAAAAAAAAACAGCGTTTCGCTCGAGACATCCTCCCAATGAATTCCGCCGGCCCACCTCGACCTCGATATAATCAGGGAATAATTCCGCCGGCCCACCTCAAGTCAGGTCCGGGGGTAAACAGCTAAAAGAGAACCCTGGGCCTAAGCCCTTTCCGGGAACATGATGGACCCACGAACCCGGAAAGGGATGTAGAAATGTGAAGCATGGGAACGTTTCAAAGCACCTCAATTGGGCGATGGGCCATGGCAATGCTGAAGATATCGATGGTGACGATACTGTGCCAGGGGCTGTGTTGTGCAGCGCTGCGCTGTGCCGTGCCGCACAGGGGGCGCGCCAGGGGACGTGCTAGGGGGTGCGCCGCGGGACATGCCACGGGGACGCGCCGCAGAACGTCCGAAGGGACGCGCCAGGGGACGCGCCAGGGGACGTGCCAGGTGACGCACCGCGGGGCGTGCCAGGGGGACGCACCACGGAACGTGCCAGGGGACGTGCCACGGGACGTGCCAGGGACGCGCCGCGCGACATGCCAGGGGGGCGCGCAGGAGCAGGAGGATGTTTTCGTCTCCGGACCAGCCAATGGGAGCACAGGAGCAGGAGGATGTTTTCGTCTCCGGGCCGCTCTCACGCAAGCTCTGCATCGCAAGGGGTGTCCGCGACTGAGACGTCGCAGAAACATCAGTGCAGGGTGAAACGAAGGCAGCACTGCGCACCGCGATGTGCGATCGCGTCGGCGTGGTAGCGTGGCCGTAAAGGTGGCGTAGGCCTGGAACGCGCGCGACCCCGCGTCGCTACCAGCGCTGTAAATGCGGCGTAGGCCTGGAGCGCGACGGCCCCCGTGAGAAATGGGCGGCGCAGGCCTGCAGCGCGTCGGGCCGCGCCGACGACAGACTCACAGCCGCGGCCGCGGCTCCGCCAGAGGGGCCCCCCTCGACGCGGCGACGCTGCCCTCGGCCTCTGGGCGCGCGTTTGGCCGCGCAGCTACATTGGCACTGCTAAGGCCATGGCGAAGTTGAAGCTCTTCACTGCCCCCCTGACCGGCGCGAGAAGCAAGCGCGGGGCCACGGGGGTGATGTCCGTGAACTTCCACGCGATGAGCTGCCTGCCCGCGCACTGGGGGGGCGGGTGCATGCGATTCAGCAACTCTCGGCTGGCGCGGTGGCGATCGAACGTTTGGTCGAACTCGTCGCCGCGCCCCAATTCCTCGCAAGGGCCAAAAAAGGATGGCCAGCGTTGGGCCCGCGTCTCGGAGGAGGGAGCAACTAGTGATCACCAGTCTAACCGCAGGGGGGGGACTGCGCCCAGTGGGGCGGACGGGGGGGCAACGGGGGGCCCCTCGGCCGGTCTGTCCTTGCGCTCCAAGAACGTCGCCTCGAATCGAATCACCCATGAGGTCGCTCGCGGGGGAGCACGCCCTGGCGCGCCGGGATATGGGGCGCCGGAATTCGTCTGGCACAGAGATCTTCTTCCCACGGGCCCAGGTGCGATTGGAGGCAATGCTGATGTCCCACTGCTTGTTCGGGTAGGAACTGATGTGCGGCTCCTTGATCAAGTGGCCGACGGAGTCGTTCGGCGGGGGCGCGAGCCCATCGGTCCCGCCAGGGGGCCCCGAGGGCGGGCCCGGAGGGGGGCCCTCGGGCGGCGCCTTCTTTTTCAACCCCCGCTTGTCAATCCGCTTCCGGGGGCGGCGTCCGTCAGCGGGCGGCTGGCGGGCCCTGGCGACCATGTCGCTCGCGGCGATGTTCGGGCTGGTCGGTGGCCGTGGACAGCTGAAATGTCAGCAAGGATAGAGATTGAAGCGAGGCAGGAGGGAGGAGGCAGAAATCATGGGCCAGGGAAACGACGCGCGTCAAGGCGGTTCCTGGTGGCTGAGCAAGCCCCGTTTTCCGAATGAAATAAACGGACTTGCTCATAGCTGGACAAACGCATGTTCCAAGACGCGACGGGGACGCAGGAGGGCGATGCTTTCGACTCCGGGCCGCTCGCACGCGAGCTTCGCAACGCAAAAAAAAGGCTGCGACTGCGACGACACAGGAACACCTGCGGAATGCGAAACGAGGCCGGCACTGCACACCAGCGTTCGTGCCGGCGTGGTAGCGCGGCCGATGGGATGGCGTAGGCCTGAGACGCGCGCGACGCTGCGTCGCTGCCAGCGCTGTAAAATGCGGCGTAGGCCTGGAGCGCGGTGGCCCTCTGGAGCACGAGAAGCTGGTCAAAGGCACGACCAGCACGTAAGCAGGAGGAACGCGCGGGGGCGAGGGCCGCGCGCCGCCGGAGGGACCCCCCTCGACGCAGCGCGGGGCACGTGGGGCCGCTCGGGCAGCGCTGCAGCGTTCAGCTGCGACGATGAACCCTGTAGGCGCACCAATCAGCGATGGCCCTCATTCGGCGGAGCTCGCTCCCGGCCCCGTCCGCGGCCTGCAGCTGCTTGGGGCCCATGGGGCCAAGGAATTCCTGAACCTCGTCGACCGAGGGCGCGAAAACCTTCGAGCACAAGGAGTCGCAGAGCCAGGCAGCGTCGCCATCTCGCACGGCCTCTGGCGGTCGAACGAGCGCGATCCAATGCCGGGGGTCAGGCTGGTGCAGGATGAGCCCCAAGGCGTGGTCGCCGTTGAAGATTGCGAGCCGGTCGTCCGAGTCCCCCACCGTGCGGATGGCGGCCTGGTGGTCCGCGCCCTGCAGCAAATCGAAATGGCACCCGCAGTCCTGGAGGTTCAGGCACAGGGCCCCGTCCTCGAAGTCCCCCTCGGGGTGACGTTCGTTCCCCGCGCGCCGCTGGAACTGCGCGGCCGACAGCTGCCGCGTGCCCGCGTGGCCGAGACAGTGGTTCACCGCGAAGAAGCCGCACGATAGGCCGAGCTGCGTGCCAGACTCGGGGTCCACCTCGCCCATGAGCGGGTTGTTGAACCACGCCGGCGCAGGCCTCGGTCTGCCGATGTAGCGGTCGAGCAGGTCACAGTGCCAGCCGCGGGCACGGGGCGCCGGCGCCAATACCAGCGTCGACTGCGTCGAGGAAGCCGGCGCCGCGCCGGCAGGGGCGCAAGCCAGCTCGCCCTCCTCGCCCCCGGCAGCCTCGCCGCGCGAGCGCTTCCGCGGCAGCGAAACGCCCGCCCCGGGCTCCTCGGACGGCGCGGTCGGCAAGTCCATCTTCGAGAGCCCGTCCTCGCGCGGCCTCTTGCCCCGGAGTCTCCTCCGCGGGGCCGCGTCGGGCCTCGCCTCGGCCGCGGGGCGAGCGACGGACCGGGCGCAGACGGCGCCCGCCTTGATCCAGTCCTCAGCGACGTACAAGAACCTGCCCGGGCGGTTGGGGTCTGGCGGGCACGTGGGCGCGCGCGTTCTCCCAGGCCGGCGCCCCCAGCTCCCCCTGCTCGCGCGCCATCTTGCGCCGCGTATCCCTGCTGAGCGCCGCCAGCCGGCCCATGAACTCAATCAGGTAGTCTGGCGGCCCCGCTCGAGGATCGACCAATCCAGATCGCCGGCGCTCTCGTCGCGCGGGAAATTCTGCGGCAACATCCACTCCAGGTTCCTGGCCCTGCCGAGGACCATCCAGACGTGCTGGAAATGCCCCCCCTGGCGCTCCTCGCCCTGCATCGTGCCCGGGCGAAACAGGTCGACGACGAAACCCTTGGGCTCGCCCTCGGGCCCGCGGATGGCGCGGCCCTGGATGCTCTGGAAGGTGAGCGGGTCCTCGGGCGCCCAAGAGAGCTGCGTGCGCGCGACGCGTCACTTCCAGCCCCTTTTTCCGCTTGCTCTTGGCGACGATCGGCTTGGCCCGCGCCGCGCCCAGATGATTCCCCGTGAACGCGCGCGTGACGGGCAACTCCCAATCGTCCTGCACGGGTTCCAAATGGTACACGCCAGGCTTCTTCAGGCCAGTGTAATCCACCTGGGCGAGCTCTGCAAGGGCCCGCGCCGCTTCGAACCCACTGTCGACGCGAACTGATCTCGACTTTACGCTCGAGCTGCCTTCGCGCGCGATGCGCCCGGGGCTGGCTGCCGTCGAATCACTCCGGGCATTCGACCAGCTCGAGCTCAAGATCGGATTCAGTTGAATTCTGCAACCCGAAGGGGGGCTCCGGATGCGCCGGGAGGGGGGGGGGGGGCCCGGCCCCTCACCCCCTCGCCCCCTGCAGTCGGCGCGGCGTGATCGCTATGCCGCCGCGGGGCCCACCGTGCAGCCGCCCCAGCGAATCTCGAGGTGCACGGGGAGATGCTCGCAGACCACGAACCCCCGCTGCCAGCGCGGGTGATCCGGCGAGGGCTTCTCGCAACCGCCGCTGGTGTTCTGCGCGAAGCCGAAGCGCTCCCGCGGGTGAAAGCGGATGCCCACAACCTCGCCCGTGGCCTCCTGCACCAGCTCCGGGCCCATGACTTTCTTCGCGAGCCGCCCTCGCATGCCCAGGTAGGCCGCGCACATGCCCGGCAGGCCGTTGCTCTTCGAGAGGTTCATGAACTTCAGCGCCTCGAGGTGCATGTCTCGGTCCTGGCGGTGCTTGAAGCGATCGACGGCCTGGAAGTAATGCACGAGCTGCCCGCGCGCCCCCGAATGCGCCATGCTGCCGGAGCCACGGTGCCGAAGATCCGGCTTGCCGTCGTCCTCCCTGTTGAACAGGGCACTGGGGCCCGGGCAGACCTTCGCGGCGGCGAGCACGCGGAGCTGCTGCAGGCGCGCGACCTGCTCCCACTGGATCGCCGCGCGGGCGCCGAGGGCGAAGAAGCCCCTCACGCCCTCCTGTTCGTAGTCCATGGACGTCCTCGGGCCGTCGGGGCCCAGCTGTACACGGTCTCTGATCTTCGCGCGCAAGTCGTCGGGCACTCTCGCCCCTCCCGGAGTGCGCATGATCTCGAAGAGCCGGGGCAGATCCTCATCGAGAAAGCGACGCGTCCCAGTGAAAAGGGCCGCGTCAGAGGCCATCTCCCTGAAGACCTTCCAGCCGTCCTCGTCCTCGTCCGCGACCTTCCGCGGGGCGCCGGGAACGCGCGAGTCGACCAGCAGGGCCTCCAGCAGCGTGTGGCTGCAGACCGGGTTCACCTGCATGAAGCCGCCCATGATGGCCTGCGCGAGCACCTGGCCGAAGGGCTCCTCGATGGCCCTGTCCACGCGCAGCCGCAGCAAACCCTGGCGGCCGAAAGTCGCGCGGCGACTCAGGCCCGCGAGGGGCGGGGGGGAAGCCAGTCCGATCTCGCCGGCGAGGAGGAGCACGAGGTATTCCCACTCGGCCTCCAACTTCTTCTTCGCCTTGGAATTGGGCTTCAGCCTGTTCGCCGCGAGGGGCTGCTTCCGCGTCAGCTTCGCCGCCGCGCGCGCGGTCTTGCCACCGAGGATGCGGGCGGCGCTGTTGGCCGCCGCCACGAGCTTCAGCCCCCTGTGCCCGAAGAAGCGCACGACCACCTTGTTGACCACCTCGGCCATGCAGTAGGTCTTCCCAGAACCCCCGGCCCGTGCAGGAAAACGCGGCGAACCTGCACGTCCCTCGAGGCCGCTGCGAGGCCCGCGGCCGTGGACAGGCTGTCCAAGCCGTCCGTCTCGAGAGCCTTCTGCCACAGTTGCTGAATCGGCTGAAGGAGGAAGAGCGTCACCAGGTACTGCCCCTTGCTCTGCCACACCCTGGACTCGGCGATGAGGGTCAGCGCCGTCTGCAGCGGGGATATCGGCATGTCCTCCTGGCCGAGGCGTCTCGCCGACGCGGGCGCGTCGGCGGGCGCCGCCGTCGCGACGGGCGGCCCCGCGCCGGCCCCTTGCATATTGTCGTCCTGTGTGGCCCTCTCCTCGCGGATCCTGTCCTGTTCCCTCCTGGCGCTCTGCGCGCCCTCGGGGCGCAGCGCTGCCAGCCGAGAGGCGCGCTCGTGCACGGCGAAGGGCTGCCGGACGCTGTCATAAGCGGAGCCCTGCAAGCGCAGGAACGTTTCCATCGGGGCTTTCTTGTGCGCGCCCTCCCGACTGCGGACGGCCGCGCGAACCGCCGCCGTTCTGCGCGCGAGTCGTCGACCTCCTCCTCCCTCAACGTCCAGATCGGCTTCATGCCCTCCTGGTCCTCTCGCGCGTCCGCGCTCCCCTGGCGCTCCTCCCCGGATGAGTTTTCGCCAGGCAGCGCCTCGTCCAAGTCGAAAGCCGCGTCATCGTCGGATCGATCTCCGCCGAGCTCCTCCTCCGCCACCGCGTCGCTGGGCCCCCGTGCCGGCCTCGGCAGCCCGCGGGTCTCGGCCATGTACTCCAGACGGGCGGCCACCTCCACGTGCCGAACAGCGAAGAACATCTCGGGGGTCAGCTTGTCGTCGCGGACTCCAGGGCCTCGCCATCGCGGGCCGCCCGCTCGCCCAGCCGAGCGCGCTCCTCCTCCGAACCGGCGACCCCCAGGAGCCGCTCATCGTCGCCGCGGACTTCGCCCGCGAAGCGCAGCACGGCCCAGGCGAGGTCCACGGGGGGGGCCATGCGCCAGCACCCCGCCCCGCGCGACGGCCGCAGCAGATCGGCGTCTGCGTCCGAGGTCGGGACCTCGCGGCGGCGGCGCCAGGTTCCGTCCAAGCCGGGGTCCGTCGCGCGGCGGCCACCGCAGAGCAATGGCAGGAAACACCCGTGGACCGGGCCCCCGCGCACGGCGCCGGGAAGATGCCAGTAGCGCGCGGCCGTCGTGTCGTGCAGCACGGGGCACTGCCGCGAGCGCTGCAGGATCTGGTCGGCCCGAGGACGCTTTTCGGACCCACCGCCATTTCCTGAAATCAGGCGCTGGACCAGAAGCCACGGATCCTAATAAATTGCGCTGGATTCGCGCTCCCAGGGCCAAGATCCCTCGAAAATTACGCCGGGCGCACGCTCCCAGGGCCAAGGCCCGTCGGAAATTACGCTGGATTGGCGCTCCCAGGGCCGAGACCCTTCGTAAATTACAACGGACGCGGCATTCGCACTCCCAGGGCCGCGATCCCTCGTAAATTACGCTGTGCCCGCGCCCCCAGGGTCGCGGAGAACCGCGCGGAAGTTGCCCAAAAGGGTCCCCCCCCCCTCTCCAGAGCAGAAACCAACATTTTTACGTTTTGGGATATGAACTCGGGGGGCGCTTTTCGGCCCCCCCGCCATTTCCTGATAATCAAGCGCAGGACCTGAAGCCGCGAATCGTCGTAAATTGCACTGCGTCCGCGCGCCCAAGGTCGCGACCCCTCGTAATTTACACTTGATCCGCGCTCTCAAGGCCACAGTCCCTCGTAAAGTACCCTGGGTTCGCGCTCGCAGGGCCGCGATCCGTCGCAAATTACGCGGAATTCACGCTCTCAGGACCACGACCCTCGTAATTTACGCTGGATGCACGCTCCCAGGGCCACGAGTCAAGTCAAGTCACCCCGCTCGCACGAGGGCGGGCCCATATAGGGCGCGAGGGAAAAATCAAAAGCCAGTCACTATTCAGGCCTGGTGCGCAAAGGAAGCATCGCGCCTGCTCACGTCGACGTGCAGAAGTCCAAGAAATCTTCTGTCATTTCCACCCATGCTGAGTAATCTTGTGCAGCTTCTTGCCACGGTCCGATGTGGTTCGCTTGGCAGAACGAGGATAGCTTCGCGACCCATGACAGAAGAGGACGACCCTGTGAGCGTGATCCCGACGGCGTCCAATGCAAGGCTCTCTGCACCCACCGATCAGGAGGTAAACCCGCAACGTATGCTGCCAGATCCCAGTACTTTTTCATGGACTCTCTCGACCATGTGCGAAGACCATGTTCCGCCAATGCTTGGCTGAGCTTTTCGTGCCATAGGTGCAGAGTCTCATGCCACGGTTGGAACCAATCCACGCCTGCAGGCGGGCCAACGACCTGCCGCATCAGACGCCGGAGTGCAACGTCTACCCCGTGCAGTGAATCGCTGTACGGCTTCCAGACACCGGCTTCCAGACACACAGGGCCACGATCCCTTGTAAATTACGCAGGCTTCGCGCTCCCAGTGCCAAGATCCCTCTTGAATTACGCGGGCAGGGCCACGGCCCTTCGTAAATTACGACGGGTGCACGCTCCAAGGGCAACGATCCCTCGTAAATTACGCGGGCTTCGCGCTCCCAGTGCCAAGATCCCTCGTGAATTACACGGGATTCGCGCTCCCAGGGCGAAGATGCCTCGTAAATTGCCCGGCGTCCGCGCTCCCAGGGCCACGATCTCTTGTAAATTGCACTCCTGGGGGCCTCTCCTGGGCCCTCCTAAAGAAAATCCTGCAAAACCAAACGAATTCGTCGAGACATCCTCGAAATTCATGCGCGCGGGACGCGGCACGCGCGAGACATCCTCGGAATTCCTGCGCGCGGGACGCTCTTCCACGTCGCGGTCGGGGCTCCAGACCCTGTCATTTGTCGAGGATTCTGCGAAAAGCGCTCCGCTCCGGGGTCTGCGGACCCCGTTTTTTATCGAGGATCCGAGATGGGGGTTGCACTTTTCTTGAGCGGGCACGCACGAAACGCACTTTTTCCACTGATAATCAGCACTTTACCTCGTTACTTACGCAGAATAATTTCGCCGGCCCCCTTCAAGTCGAAACCGGGGGGTGAACGTACTAAAAGAGAACCCTGGGCCCGGCGCCCTTTCCGGGAAAAAGCCTCGAGGACCATCGCGACCGGGGGGCCCCGGACCCCCTCCTCCTGCGGCACTTTGCGCGCCGCATCGCGACCTGGCATGGCGCCCCGGGCCCCGAAAACTCCGGGCGAAGAAACGCCCGGCGTGGAGCAAAATTGCAGCGCCCGGAGGCTCCGGGTCGGCGCTGGCCAGGGCCTCGGGCGCGGCGGCGGCCCTGGCGGGGCAGCCGGCCAGGAACGGGGCCTGGAGGCACTGGCGCGCCTCGGGGCGCTTCCGCCGCTCCAGGGCGACCATGGCGGAGCACATGCCCGCCGCGTCCGCGGAGCGGTGGCGCGCGATGTCCCACGGCGGGCGGGGGCGCGTGGCCCAGTAGCGCCGCGCCGCGTCGGCGTCCAGGTCGGCGGGGCACTCGAAGGGCAGCTCCAGCGTCAGCAGCTCGAAGAGCACCACGCCGCAGCTGAACACGTCGGCCCTCGGGGTGAACTCGCCGCGCCAGGCCTCCGGGGCCATGGTGGTGGGCGTGCCCCGCGGGCCTGCGCACTCGAACACGCCGGGCCGGAAGACCTGGGCGACCCCCAGGTCGATCACCATCACGTGCGGGCTCTCGCCGAGGTCGCAGAGCGTGTGACCGGCAGCTGGCCGGCGCCCGGGGGGCAGCGTCCGCTTCTTGGGCATCAGCAGGATGTTGCCAGGCTTGAGGTCGAGGTGGAGGATCCCCCGCGAGTGCACGTGCGAGATGGCCAGCAGCACCTGGCAGATCACACAGGCCACGAACGCCTCGCGCAGATGCTGGCGCGAGTCGATGCTCTCGAAAATGACCGACTGCAGCTCCCCGCCCGAACAGAAATCCATGACCAGGTAGATCTGCTGGTCGTCCTCGATTTTTTTGGAGAGGGGGGGAAAGTGAAGGTCAGGGAACTCGCAAAGCACCACATTTATCCAGTCCGACTGCCTGTCGCACGCAGCCCCACACAGCCTGCCAGGCCCGACGCAAAACCCTGGACACGCACAGCGAGGGAAATGCGTGAGTGGCGGAACTGGTGCATCGGTGCAAGACCATCTGCGCGAGGAGGAAACTAGAAACGTCTTATTCGAATAACCCGAGGAAACATTTGAGAATCCCCCCAGGGTTATCTTAGCACCACAATTTTGTTCAATATTCCACGGGGACATTTTCGCGGAGCGATATCTTTAGCACCGCGCGCAAACAATAAAACAACATCTCAATCGGTGGCCGCCCCTATGAGGCAACGAAAGGAATTCGCAGGGAATGTTAAGGATCTTGCTTTGATCCCTGTGGCTTCCTAAGGCATGCCAGGAGTGTGGCTCTGAACTTTCGGAATTCCTAGGGAATGCTAGGGTCTGGGTCGAATCTTCAAGGATTCCTAACGAATGCAAGGGATCTGGCTTAGATCTCTTTAATAATTTATAGGAAATGCGAAAGATCTGGTACACATTCCCAAGCAGTCCTAGGGAATGCTTGGCATCTGTTTCAGTTCCTGTGTGCGAGTGTTACGCGTGCGTTGTGTGTATATGTATATGTATATGTATATGTATATATATAAGTGAGAATATATGTGCGCACGTTCGAAAGCTCATTGCAAAACCATGCACCCTTTTGCGGCGGGCCAGCATGAAATTCCGGAGGTTGCCCCTGGAGAGTTCCGAGAAGCCCCAAGACAGCCTAAGACGGCCGAGCCTATTGCAGGTTTTTCGTTGGAATGTCGTCGTCCTTTTCCTGCACGATTCCTATTATAACCCCCTCAAAAATATGGCTGATGGTTGGCCGTCGTAGGGGGTGGTCCACTCCAAGGTATCGCCCCCCACCCTCCCCGCACCGAAGCGTTACCTTAGCACCCAGCAAGGTCGCACAATAATCCCCAGCCAGGGCTATGAACGCGTCTCAATGTACATCGCAATCGCATAGATTCTGAAGGGTAATCAGCCTAAGCGTTGCAGGCGGTCCTAAAGGATATCCAGGGAAATAACAAGGATCTTCTACAGAAAATCAGCGGACTTCTTAAAGAAAGCCAAGAGGTTCCCGAAAGAACTGGCATGAATCCCACCAACCCTCTGGGCGTCGGTGGTTTAGGGCGTTTTCTCTTCAACCCCTCCCTCTTCCCTTTCGGGGAGGGGTTTACCCCTCCCCCTTACCCCCTCCCCTGGACCTGGACGGGGGGGGGGGCGCGGGTAGTTGGAGCGTCCAAGGTGGCCCAAGATGGCTCCATGAGGGCCTTAGAGCAGCCAAAGGTAGCGTCGACATGATCGATCCACGAAGCCGGAAAGGCATATAGAACTGTAACACATGGCAACGTTTTCAAAGACACCTGATTGGGTGACGGGCAAATGCAATGCTGAGTGTATCGATCTTGATGTACCGTGCCGAAGGCTGTGCTGTGCTGCGCCGTGCTGAATTGCGATGTGCCACGGCGCGATTGTGCTCTATAGCCTCGTGGATCGGGTCCTCCTTTGCATCCGAGTCCTGACCGAACTGATCTGGATCTTAAGCTCGAGCTGCCTGAACACATAGTAGCTGCCCCAGAGCTAATTGACAGGGGGACATGCCAGGAGGACGCGCCGCGAAATGTCCCAAGGGATGCGCCAGGCGACGTGCCAGGGGACGTGCCATGGAGTCGCACCGCGGGACGTGCCAAGGGGACGCGCTACGGAACGTGCCAATGGATGTGCCACGGGATGTGCCAGGGGACGCGCCAGGCGACGTGCCAGGGGGACTCGCCAAGGGACGCCCCACGGAACGTGCCAAGGAACGTGCCAAATTGCAATGCTGAGTGTATCGATCTTGATGTACCGTGCCGAGGGCTGTGCTGTGCTGCGCCGTGCTGAATTGCGATGTGCCATGCGCGATTGTGCTCTATAGCCTCGTGGATCGAGTCCTCCTTTGCATCCGAGTCCTGACCGAACTGATCTGGATCTTAAGCTCGAGCTGCCTGAACACATAGTAGCTGCCCCAGAGCTAATGGACAGGGGAACATGCCAGGAGGACGCGCCGCAGAACGTCTCAAGGGACGCGCCAAGCGACGTGCCAAGGGACGTGCCATGGGGACGCACCGCGGGACCTGCCAAGGGGACGCGCTACGGAACGTGCCAATGGATGTGCCACGGGATGTGCCAGGGGACGCGCCACGCGACGTGCCAGGGGGACTCGCCAAGGGACGCCCCACGGAACGTGCCAAGCGAGCGTGACGTGAATCCTCGGAATTCCTGCGAGCGGGACGTGAAAACAAGGATTTCGCCTGAGACATCCTCTGAATTCTGGCCACCCACGAGGCCCCCGCTCGAGACACCCTCCAATTTTGCAAAGCCAGCGTTTCGCTCGAGACATCCTCAACAAATTCGGACAAAAAACAAACGTCTCGCTCGAGACATCCGGTCAAAATCCCAAGAAATCCTGGCCAAACAAATGAATTTGTCGAGACATGCTCAAAATTCCTGCGCGCTGGACGCGGCACGCGCGAGACATCCTCGGAATTCCTACGAGCGGGACGTGAAAACAAGCATTTCGCCTGAGACATCCTCTGAATTCTGGCCCCCCACGAAGCCCCCGCTCGAGACATCCCCCCAATTTTACAAAACCAGCGTTTCGCTCGAGACATCCTCAACAAATTCTTGAAATTACACTACACCCGCGCTACCAGGGCCACGATCCCTCGTAAATTACGCTACGTCAGCGCTCCCAGGGCCACGATCCCTCGTAAGGACTCCTGGGCCCTCCTGGGTCTTCCTTGGACCTCTTGGGCCCTCCTGGGCTCTCCTGGAGCCTCCTGGAGCTTCTCCTGGGCTCTCCTTGGGCCCCCTGGTGCCTCTTGGAGTCTCCTGGGTCCTCCTGGGCCCTCCTGGGCTCTCCTGGGCCCTCCTGGGCTCTCCTGGGCTCTCCTGGAGCCTCCTGGGCCCTCCTGGGCGAAGTCAAGGTCCGAAAACACATGGGACTTGCAAGATTTCTGGAATTCGGTGCCACCCCTCACGCAGGTCGGCGGGGTCAGGATCCGAAAACACAGGGGATTTGCTACATTTCTGGAATTCCGTGTCACCCCTCACGCAGATCGGCGGGGTCAGGGTCCAAAAACACAGGGGATTTACCAGATTTCTGGAATTCCGCGCCACCCCTCATGCAGATCGGCGGGGTCAGGGTCCAAAAACACATGAGATTTGACACATGTCTGGTATTCCGTGCCACACCTCACGCAGATCGGCGGGGTCAGGGTCAAAAAACATATGGGATTTCTGCTATTTCCGAACTTATGCAACTTCAAGAATCCAAAACTCTGTTCCCAGCGCAGTTCCGGAGGCAGCGGTATCTCGTTATTTATCGAGCGAACGCGTTTACCTTGTTTTTTATCGCTTAAAGTCGATGTCGGAAAAAAGTGGACTTCACCTGTGAAATATCGAGGTTTCCTTAAAGGCAGTAAAATTCCAAGAGCACGATCTGCGTGAGGGGTGGCGAAAAATTGCCTTCGTCCTCACAAATGAAATCAGCCGGGTCCCCTTCGACCTTGTAATTTATCGCACAAGAATTCAGCCGGCCCCCTTCAAGTAAAAACCGTGGGTAAACCAACTAAAAGAGAACCCTGGGCCCACGCCCTTTCCGGGAAAAATTGCTCAAGATAGCGCGAGATGCCTCGATATAGCTCAGCAGATGCTCCAGGACGCTCCAAGACCGCTCCAGGACGGGTCTAAGTGGCCAAAAGAGCTCCCCAATGACGCCCCGACCAAGCCAAAATGCTTCAAAACCATAAGGCCAATCCATGTTTTCGGCGTTATCGCTTTTGCGCTTCCGATGCCCATCCGAGGCCTCAACATCGCTCCAAGATGGCCCAACAGGGGCCCAATAAGGGACCAAGAGAGCCCCAAGACGGTCCCAAGAGCGCCCAAGAGCGCTCCAAGAATGCTCCAAGATGGGTCCAGGAGGCGATTTTGGGTGCTCCTGGGGGGGGAGGCGTAATTGAGGAACCCCCTTTGTTGACCGACATCCTCCAAGATGGCTCCAAAGAGCGCCCCAAAAAGGGACCAACCGAGCCCCAAGACGGCCCCAAGAGCGCCCAAGAGCGCTCCAATGACGCTCCAATATGGGTCCAGGAGGCGATATTGGGTGCTCCTGAAGGGGGGGGGGGGGCGTAATCCCACCAGTCCACTGGGCGTCGGTGGTTTAGGGCGTTTCCTCTTCCACCCCTCCCTCTTCGCCTTCGGGGAGGGGTTTACCCCTCCCCCTACCCCCTCCCCGTGGACCTGGACGGGAGGGGCGGGGAGGTGTCAGGGCGTCCAAAACGGCCTCGGCGAGGAAGCCAGACTCACTGATTTTACCAAGGGTTTTGGCCCCATTTTGGCTTCCTGATGGGGGGACCGTAATTAGTGCCCCCCCCTCCTGTGATCGATCTCCTCCAAGATGGCCCCAAGAAGCGGCCAGGAGGCCCTAAGAGTGCCCCAATATGGCCCCAAGGGGCCCCCAAGAGGCCCCCAGGAGGCCCCCAAGAGGATCCCAAACGGCCCAAAGAGGCTCCCCCGAAGCACCCAAAACGCAGAACATGATCGACCCACGAACCCGGAAAGGAACATAGAAATGCAACGCATGGCAACGTTTTCAAAGACACCTGATTGGGTGACGGGCAAGTGCAATGCTGATTGTATCGATCTTGATGTACCGTGCCGAGGGCTGTACTGTGCTGCACCGTGCTGAATTGCGATGTGCCATGCCGCGGTTGTGCTCTATAGCGTCGTGGATCGAGTCTTCCTTTGCATCCGAGTCCTGACCGAACTGATCTGGATCTGAAGCTCGAGCTGCCTGAACACATAGTAGCTGCTCCAGAGCTAATTGACAGGGGGACATGCCAGGAGGACGCGCCGCGAAACGTCCCAAGGGA